TGGAGGGGCGGAAGTACCTATGAAAATTTCCCCAACGTGATAAAAAGAAAAGTCTTTTGTGCTCTTAATGCGATTCGTTGGAATGAACAGAATATTTCTGAACTTTATGAAAAGATTTCGAAAGGAGCCGTTGTTTCCCCAGCATTTTATTCTCTGGGAAGAAGGAAGTTAGGAGTTGATGGTCTCTACTGGTTGGTTTTGTACATTCAATGCCAATCGTTGGAGAGAACAAAATATTATCGGAGCTTGATCGGGGGATTTTCCTTGAAGCTGAGGTTCTTTCAAATTGTATCTCTCTAAAAAATGTGAAATCAGAGATTAGAACAGTTTGTTTTAGTTTTCGTGAATCGTAGACCCTATCTGAAGAGACATTCTGCTTGAAATAATAAAATTTGAGACTTGGAGCGTAAGAGAATAGATCTATTGAAAACCCATTTTCAATATAAAAAATGAGATTTTCGCTTTCTTTCTCTTCAAGAATTACTTTAGTTGAGAGAGATCATAGAAAATCCTTCGTTCATTTCGAATTTTCCGAAGAAATTTGTGTACCGTGATTAGCATTAGAAAATCGTTTGATTAATAATAATATTTTGTTCTCTCCAACGATTGGCATCGAGTGCATAAAACCAACCAGTAGTCACCCCCAACCCCTAACTTCCTCCTTCGCAGAGGGTAAAATACAGGAGAAACATCGGCTCCTTACAAAATTTTTTCATAAAGCCCAGAAATATTCTGTTCATTCCAACGAATTGCGTTAAGAGCACAAAAATCTTTTTCTTTTTTTTATAATGGTGGGAAAATCTTTATGGATACCCCCGCCCCTTTGGCAGGACGGGGGTTATGTCAGACTCTTACCGGCTAAAACTTCACCGGGGTATCTACTGATCAGGCCATGATGAGGGGAGACAGGGGAACTACTCCTACATTCCTTCCCCAACACCCTGGCCCCAGGGCTCTGACCGAGAGCCCCACGCCCGACTACCGCGCCCCTCCGACACAGGGAGTCGAGGCGCGGTACCCCGGCCAGTTGCCCGGCCGGGTTGGCCTTCCTGTTACAGTTAAGGAGAGGGGGATACCCAAAGGCCGAAAGCGATCACCATCGGCCTAGGTCCGTTGGTCGGGCTGCCGGGTTCGGGATCGGTTCTTCCGGGAGAGGTGTTGCGATCCTAGTGGTCGGCTTTAGGTTTTGTGTGCCCTGCTCTCGTTGTCCACGGTGGTCCGGGTGCTCGTTATGAGGCTCGTCTCCCGTGCTGGTCTCTCGAGGATCTGCAGGCTGAGAGTGGTGGGTAATCCGCGCGTAGTCGCAGGGATGGTCATCGCCGACCCGTAGGTAAGGAGCGGTGGGTGACCACGATTTCCGTAGCGGGGACGGTCTTCGCTGACCCGTAGGTAAAGAGCAGTAAGGATCGGTACGGGTATTGCGAACGGTGTTTCTTCGGTATCTTCGTTCGGTATCTCGGTCCTGGTCTTCCTCTTCGGTCTTCTCTCGAGGCGGTCCGGTGGTTGAGTGATGGCTCTGCCCGCTCGATCGCCGGTATTTATACTCCCGGCCGGATGGCTTCGGGCGCCTTCGGGGGGCTCGCTCGGCTATCTTCGGCCGGAAGCTCGCGTGCCTGAGCGATGCTTCCGGCGCTGTTCGGTTATCTTCGTCGGTCGGCTCGGTTACCATCGGCCGGAAGCTCGCGTGCCCGCGCGAGGCTTCCGGTGCTTGCGTTGCTTGAGGGTCTTCGGCGGTGTTCGGCCGTTTTCGGCCGCGCCGAGCGTGTTCGCCGGGTTGTCGGTGCTCAGGGGCCGCGTGCCTTGTATGGCGGTCTGCCGAATCCTCGGCGGTTGTGCGCTCTCGAGTGCGTAACGAGGGAGCCGTAGGCTTACTCGTTACAAGTTTTCGTGTGCTCAATGCCATTCGTTGGTGAAAATAAAATATTTCAGAGCTATCTGAGTATATTCTTTCACAAACCGATCATGCATCAGCATTTCGTCCCCTAGAAGGGTTAAAAATAAGGATTGAGATGAATTTTCAAGGATTTCATACACGTAATGCCATCCGTTGGTAGGGAGAAAATATTTCAAAGCTGTTAAAATGTATTTTTCGAGAAACCGATGTTCCTTCAGCAAGTTATTTTCTAAGAGGGTGGAAAATAAGGGTTGGCAAAAATTTGTACAGATTTTTGTGCACTTGCCTACTTCGGGGGCAGGGACCTCGCCTAATCGGAGAGAGGTGGGGTCCAGGACCGGCGCACTATGGAGCGCGGTGTCCCGCAGGGGTCGGATCTTGGCCCCCTGCTATGGAACATCGCGTTCGACAAGGTGCTTCGCTCTCCCCTCCCACTGCCACGTCATCTGCTATGCAGATGACACTTTAGTGATGGCCGGGGGGATGGTTGGGGAGAAGCCCGCCTCCGAGCGGAGGCGGCACTGGTGTCCGTGGGGGGTCCATCAAGGACCTGGAACTAAAGGTGGCGCCCCGTAAGACCGAGGCTATGTTCTTTCATGACGGCGGTTGTGGGGAGCCGCCGGAGACCCGGGTCCTGGTGGACGGAGTCCACGTCCAGATCGGGTCCACAATAAAGTATCTGGACCTGACCTTGGACAGCCGCTGGGATTTTACGGCGCATTTCAGGCGCCTAGTCCGCCGGGTACGCGGCGCGGGTTCGTCAGACTCATGCAGACCCAAGGGGAACCTGGATGGCGGGCTCGCCGCCTATATGTTAGTGTGGTTCTCTCGATCGCCCTCTATGGGGCGCCCATATGCGCGCCCCAGCTCTTGGCTTCCGGCCGCAACATCAGCATTATGCGCCAGGCGATGCGGCCGGTGGTAGTGAGGACGATTCGAGGGTTCCGCACTGTCTCGTACATGGCAGCGACCAACCCTAGCGGGCTCTCCCTCCCCCCCGTGAGCTCTTCACATAGGAGCGGTGCACCCTCTATTGGAGGGTGCGCGAGCTCCTCGAGGAGGGGGATGGATTAACGGTCAAGGGCCTGGCGGCCTTGAAGTCCCAGGCCAGAGCCCGGACCATGGAGTAATGGTCGGTCATCTTGGCTGACCTCTCCGGGTTCGGGCTTCGAACGGCCGAGGCTGTCCGTCCCTGTCTGCCCAAGGTAGCGGATAGGAGGGGGCGTGGACTCACCTTTCATTTCCTGCAGTTGTTGACCGGGCACGGGTGCTTCGGTCAGTACCTGCACCGGATCGAAAAGGAACCCACCACCAGATGCCGCTACTGCCGGGCAAAGGAGGATACGGCGGAACGTACGTTGGGTTCATGCGGGGCATGGACTCGACAACGCCGTGTCCTCGCCCGGGCAGTGAGATGCCGGGTGGAGACCCTCTTGCTTCCGCGCATAGTCCAGGCCATGTGAGGGAGCGAAGAGGCGGGGGGGGCGGCGATCTCCTTCTGCAAAGACATTATGTCCCGGAAGGAGACCGCCGAATGGGAGCGCCGACCAAGCCGCCGCCGCAGGGAGCCGCGGGGCTGGCGACGCTCATCGGGGATGGGTAGTGGGCCCGAGGTGGCGCCGGCCGAGGAGCCGCCCCGATTCGTCGGGGACCTTCTAGGTCGCTTCGGGCCCGCCTCCGTACGCGCGGGGGAGGGCGACGGGTATAAACCTGCTCTGCGCGTCGGAAAGGGTTGGTAAAAGGGGAGTGGAGGCCCGTTTTGGGACGGGCCCCACTCCCCTCCCTCGTCAGGTAATGAGGGGGGTCAGGAGAAAGGCTGGGTATCCCCCTCTCCTTAACTGTAACAGGAAGGCCAACCCGGCCGGGCAACTGGCCGGGGTACCCGCGCCTCGACTCCCTGTGTCGGAGGGGCGCGGTAGTCGGGCGTGGGGCTCTCGGTCAGAGCCCTGGGGCCAGGGTGTTGGGGAAGGAATGTAGGAGTAGTTCCCCTGTCTCCCCTCATCATGGCCTGATCAGTAGATACCCCGGTGAAGTTTTAGCCGGTAAGAGTCTGACATAACCCCCGTCCTGCCAAAGGGGCGGGGGTATCCATAAAGATTTTCCCACCATTATAAAAAAAAGAAAAAGATTTTTGTGCTCTTAACGCAATTCGTTGGAATGAACAGAATATTTCTGGGCTTTATGAAAAAATTTTGTAAGGAGCCGATGTTTCTCCTGTATTTTACCCTCTGCGAAGGAGGAAGTTAGGGGTTGGGGGTGACTACTGGTTGGTTTTATGCACTCGATGCCAATCGTTGGAGAGAACAAAATATTATTATTAATCAAACGATTTTCTAATGCTAATCACGGTACACAAATTTCTTCGGAAAATTCGAAATGAACGAAGGATTTTCTATGATCTCTCTCAACTAAAGTAATTCTTGAAGAGAAAGAAAGCGAAAATCTCATTTTTTATATTGAAAATGGGTTTTCAATAGATCTATTCTCTTACGCTCCAAGTCTCAAATTTTATTATTTCAAGCAGAATGTCTCTTCAGATAGGGTCTACGATTCACGAAAACTAAAACAAACTGTTCTAATCTCTGATTTCACATTTTTTAGAGAGATACAATTTGAAAGAACCTCAGCTTCAAGGAAAATCCCCCGATCAAGCTCCGATAATATTTTGTTCTCTCCAACGATTGGCATTGAATGTACAAAACCAACCAGTAGAGACCATCAACTCCTAACTTCCTTCTTCCCAGAGAATAAAATGCTGGGGAAACAACGGCTCCTTTCGAAATCTTTTCATAAAGTTCAGAAATATTCTGTTCATTCCAACGAATCGCATTAAGAGCACAAAAGACTTTTCTTTTTATCACGTTGGGGAAATTTTCATAGGTACTTCCGCCCCTCCAAAGGGCGAGGGTTATGCCGGATTCTTACCGGCTAAAACCCTACCGGGGTATCTACCAGTCGGGCCAGAGTGTGGGGAGTCGGGGGAACTGCGTCGGGCATTACATCCGTCGTCCCCCCCTGCACGGACGGAGGCGGGCCTGAGGCGGCCGAGGAGGCCTCCGACGAATCGGGGGCGGCTCCTCGGTCGGCGTCACCTCGGGCCCGCTCCCTAGACCCGGGAAGCGTCGCCGCTTTCCCTGTCGTCGTTGCGACGGGTATCGGAACGGGGCTCCCATTCGGCGGCCTCCTTCCGGGACATTACGTCTCTCGAGAAGGCCGCCGTCTCCCATGCCTCCTCGCTTCCACACATGGCCTGGACCATGCGCAAGAGCGAGAGGGCCTCCTCCGCGCATTCCACCGCACGGGCCAGGACACGGCGCTGCTGGCCCCATGCCTCGCATGCAGCCAGCTTATGATGCGCCGTGTCCTCGAGCACCGGGCAGTGATGGCATCGGGTGGTGGGCTTTTTCTGAATCCAGTACAGGTACTGGCCGAAACAACCATGGCCTGTAAGTACCTGCACCAGATGGGACGAGAGTCCGCGTCCCCTCCTCTCTGCCATCATCGGCAGAAGGGACCGTTTGGAGCCTGGGTTCGCGGGGGTCCGCCACCAGGGCGTCTCACCGCTCCATGACCCGGGCTCTGGCCTGGGACTTCAGAGCCGCCAGGCAGCTAGCCGTTACCTCCTCCTCCTCTTTGCAGAGCTCCCGCACCTATCCAATAGAGGGTGCTTCGCTTTTCTGCGAGGATATCCACGAGGGGAGGAGCCGGCCAGGGTCGTCGCTGCCTATACGATACGGTGCGGTTCACCCGAATAGTCCTCACAACCACTGGCCGCAGTGCCTGACGCATCAGGCGTTTGCTGCGGTCGGTGGCCTTAAGCTGGGACGCCCATATGGGCGTCCCATAGAGGGTGATCGAGAGCACCACATCCATGTATAGGCGGCGGGCGTACCATCCGGCACCCCTTTGGGTCCGCATGAGCCCGGCCAGAGCCAGGCCGGCTTTGCGAACCCGAGAGGCCAGCCACCTGAAATGCGGCCCGAAGTCCCACCGACCGTCCAGCATCAGACCCAGACTCTTGATCTTGGGCTCGATGCGGACGCAGACTCCGTCCACGAAGACCCAGGACTCCAGCGGCGCCCCACGGCTGCTGACATGAAAATATACGGCTTCCGTTTTATGGGGCGCCACTTTCAGCCCTACGTCCTTGATAGTGCCCACCACCGATGCCAACGCTGCCTCCACACGGAGACGGGCATCACACAGTCCTCTCCTCCGGCCACCACTAATGTGTCATCTGCGTAGCAGATCACATGGCCACCGGGGGGAAGGACCGAGCGGAGCCCCCGGTTGAACGTGATATCCTATAACAGGGGGCCGAGAATCGACTTCTGCGGGACACCACATTCTACTGTCTGCCGACCTTGGACCCCGCCTTTCTCCGAGTAGGCGAGGTCCCTGCCCTCGAAGTAAGCCGATAGGATGCTCCGGAGATAGACGTGCACCCCGTGTTCGAGGTATTCGAGGGCCCGTCCCACTTCCGGCCAGGGCAGGGTGTTAAAGGCGTTAGGGATGTCTAACGACACTGAGCACAACACCCCGTCCCCCTCCTCCACGACCGTACGGGTCAGGTCCCGGACATACTGGATCGTATCCAGTGTGGATCGCCCAGGCCTGAACCCATACTGTCGGTCGTGGAGGTTCGGTCCCTCCGAGAACAGATGCTGGACGAGGCGGTCGACAATAATGCATTCGAGCATCTTGCCCGCCTCGTCCAGCAGACAGATCGGCCTATAGGCCGACAGACTGCCGGGTGTTTTGCCTTCCTTCGGGAGAAGGGCCAAAATCGCCATCGCGGCGTCGCACGCCGACGTCACGATGCTCACCAACTCCTTGGCCCCTTCACGGGAACTGGGGTCCCACTCACCTAGCCCCTCGAGGTGCCAGGTAGCCACAAGGACGGCTGCCTGAAATTTGTACGCATCAAGTTGACTGAGAGCCCATCTTTTAGGCAGGGGTAAGTTCCTCTCCCTTGGCGGTCCAGCATCCACTGAGGGGAGGGAAGACGGAGGGACCACACTATATATTTGTGATCAGATAGTGTTTCGCCCTCCATCCCCACCACCCACTCCCGGAAAATCCGGGCGGCCGAAGGGGAAACCCACGTCAAATCTATGACGGACTTCCCTCTTAACCGCACGCAGGTGCTGGTCGAACCCCTGTTCATGAGCAGGAGGTCGAGCCCTTCCGCCCAGTCGACCACGACGCCGCCCCAGGGATCCTCCTGCCGGGGACTGCAACCCCACTCCGTAAAATGGGCGTTGAAGTCCCCGGCTACAACGACGGACCGAGGGTGGCACTGATGTACCAAGTCCCCGACCCTGACGAGGTGCCCCTAAATGCGGGCAGGGTCGCCGAGGCCGACCTTATTTCTGCGGTGGGGGAAATATACCCCGCCCACAGTGATGGGCCCCCAGTCAACGGCCACGTACGAGGTCCCGCTGGCCCTGAGTTTGCAGAAAAGGACCCCGTCGCGGGACGAGCCACCACGGCCACCGTCGTGGCTGCCGGACCAATTTGGGTTACCGATCGCCGCCCACGATGGCTCGGTGACCACCCCCAGCTCGGGGCCCAGCTCCGCAAGCCCCTGATCCCAGAGTCTTGGGCTCGGGCGCCGCGGCCCAGGTTGGCCTGTAGCACGCGGAGGGGCGTGAAGGCTAAGCCTCTAACGCCTCCTCCGGGCGGCCTACCTCCACCCCCTCGGGGTAGACATCAGGCGGCGATGCCGCCGCTTCAGTCCTCACTGAGGGGACTTTAGCCGTGGTGGCCTCATTCTTGGATGCCTCTGCAGAGGTGTCGGAAGTCCCTACCTCGGTGACCCCCTCCTCTGGGGAATATGAAGGGGGAGTCACTCGTTGGGGGTGTCGGGGTTGGCGCGCCGTCCGACTCCACTTTTCAGTTTAGGGTAGTTGGGGGTGGAGTGCAGTGCTCCACCCTCCTTACCTTCTTCACCGCTGCCGCCGTTGGGGAGGAGGCTTCTCCCGTCTCCCGTTCCCCCGTTAGAAGGGAGAACCTTACATCGCCTCCCTCTTCCTCCTTTCCCTCCTTGGCAGCGACTCCGTCGGTGCCTTGCTGGTATGGATTCAGGCCTCCTCCATCCTCATCGACTCCGGCAACTTCGTTGGGGAAGACCGGTCTGATCCCCCCCCACAGTCTGCGCGTCGCTGGTGTGGGTTCGGGCCTCCTCCACCAGCACCAGTTCCGGCTCCCTCATTGGAGGGGTGGCCGGCCTGCCCCTCCCTCGTCCTGCGCGGAGTCCCTCGGAGAGGTAAACATTTCCTGCCTCCCCCCGGTTCCTGGGCCTCTGTCCGGTTTCTTTATCCCCCCTCTTCTCCCGGCACGGGGAGAGATTATGGCCGGTCGGCCTGCCCGCGTTGGCGCACATGATACAATGCGCCGTCACCGCCTCGTACTGCTTCGCGCGGTGGTCGGGATTACCGCAACGGTAGCATTAACCGCTGCGGTCGACTGCACTTGTGCATCGCTCGCGCATGTGGCTACGCTCCAGACATCTGAAACAGACCTCGGCGCGAGCAGGCAGCTCCGTCACTCCGGCGCGGGTCCAGCCCACCTGGACCCGCTCCGCGGCAGCGACCTTAGCGGCTGCCGTCAGCAGACACCGCACTACCACAGCTGCGATTCCTCACTGGGAGACGTTGAGTTCACTCACGGGTATTTCCGCAAGTGAACATCCCCCAGCGAGGGACACGGCGGCCGTTACTTCATCGGCTCCGGTCGTGAAGTCTAGGCCGGTGAGTCGCAATATTTCGACCTTCACCGGCTTTTGGACCCGGTACTCGGGGCCCTTTTCCGCCGCCAGCCAGCGGAGTTCCTCCGCTATCCGGTCGGCGGCTGCCCTCACGTTGAGGCCAAGCACCTCTACAAGCAAGGCCCCCGTGAGGGCCGCGGACCTTGAGGGATCCTGGGATCCCCAGATCAGCCGGCTTGATTCGGTGCTTGGCCTCTATTATGAATTCACGGTATGAGTAGCGGGGGCAGGTGATCGTAACAGCCGCTGATCTCGGTGGCTTCGACTTCGCTGCCCACGCCGCCGGTCCTCCCTTTCTGGACCCTGCGAGAAATGGAAAGGTGAGGACTACTGCCCTTCTTCTCCTCCTCCTTCTTCTTCTTCCTCTCCCGCCCTCCCATCACCCTCGACCAGAGCTCCGTCCAGGAGCGGCCAAGAGTTGGGAAACGCCGGAGAGAGCTACCATGCTGCGAGGAGGGGATCCAGCCTGGGTCCTCTTTAGTCAGGTGTTGGGGCCGGTTTTCGCGTCCTGGTAGTCTCGGGGAAAGGACCCAGCCTGAGTCCCCCTCGGCCCAAGGTCGAGGCCGGTCCGACCGTCGCTCCGACAGGGGAGGAGGTTGCCTTGGCTGCAGCAGAAGGGGGTCCTGCCCATGTCCTCCTTGACCTGATGTAAGTGCCTTAGATGCCGCTCCCGCAACTGCTTGCTGCTGTTGCTGCTGCTACTGCTCCACCCTCTTTCTCTCCCTCCTGTCCTTCCGCTTTCCGTTCCTGGCCGTTGATGATGACGCCCGCGGTTTCCCCCCTCCCACACTCTCACCCCCGGTCGGTTCGGCTATTGCCTTCCTGGCCGAAGGAGTCGGAGCGGAGGGAGGAATATCCCGCGGCGCCGGGACCGGAACGGAAGGCCCGAGCAGCACAAAAACTCCTTCTTTTGGTAACGCAGGGGAAATCCATCATGGATAACCCCGACCCTTTGGGGAGGGGAGGGTCGGGGGTTATGTCAGACTCTTAATGACTAAAATCCCTGTGGGATGTCTACCAACCGGATCGTGGTGGGGACGTCAGGGGAACTACTCCCGTATTCCCTCCCCGACACCCCGGCCCAAGGGCTCTCCGGGAGCTCCACAGCTTCGAGTTCTGCGCCCTGTCCCACAGAGGGAGTCCAGGGCGCGGTCCCCCGACTGGTTTCCCAGCCGGGTTGGCCTTCTGGTATTCACTTGGAGGGAGTGGACACCTCCTTTATTCCCCCTTTCTAAAGGGGGGCCGAGGGAGTGGAGCCTAGCCCCAACCGGGCTTTCACTCCCCCTTCACCTGCCCTTACCAACGCCTAGGGGGAGGCGGGAGGGCAACCCTCGCCCTCCCCCTCCCCCCGCGCGTCCGAAGTCGGGCCCGAGGCGGCTGAGGAGGCGGTCTCCGACGTGCCGGTGACCTATCCTCCTCCTCGGCCGGCACCCCCTCGGGCCCGCTGCCTATACCGGGGGAGTGCCGCCCCCACCGCTCTCTGCAGCGGTCTCCGGGGCGACGCTCCCATTCGGCGGCCACCTTCCGCGACATAACATCGCGGTAGAAGGAGGTGCGAGCCATGCGCGGGAGCGAGAGGTCTTGCTCCTCGCATCCCACTGCTTGGGCGAGAACACCGCACTTCCTGTCCCATACCAAGCATTCGTCCAGAGTATGTTGTACGGTGTCATCTCGTCGCGGGCAGTGGTGGCACTCGGTAGTGAGCTCCTTCCTGGTCCGGTGCAGGCAAT